TTACAAACTTTTATGGAATTATTCAGTATTTTCAACAGTAATTCAGAAAGTTTCTTAAGTGATGCAGTACTTGCAGAAGCGATTATTTACTATTGTAGAACTATGCAGTATTTTCCAAAGTGATTTCGAAATTTTCTGGAGCGATTCCGAAGCATCGGAAGCGATTTCATCCTTTTCTAAAACGATTCAGTTCTTTCCGAAGTGATCCAGTTTTTGTGGAATTATTCAGTATTTTCAAAAGAAATTCCGGATTCTTCTAAAGTGATCCAGTACTTTCAAAAGTGATTACAAACTATTCTGGAATGATTTAGCGCTTACCAACTTTCCTCATTTGATTCTGTTCTTTCCGAAGTGGTTCAGTACTAACAGAAGTGATTACAAACTTTTATGGAATTATTCAGTATTTTTCAAAGTGATTCCAAAATCTTTTAAAGTGATTCAGTACAAACTGTTCTGAAGTGATTTATCCAAGCTAGTGAGTAAATTCTGAAGCAATATCAAACTTTTCCGAAGTGGTTCAATACTTTCTGAAGTGACTCCGAACATTTCTAAAGTGATTCCATACTTTTCGAAATGATTCAGTATTTTTCGAAGTGAATCAAAACTTTTCTGAAGTGATCCACTACTTTTCAAAATGATTCAGTACTTGCGGAAGTAATTAGAAGCATTTATGGAATGATTCAGAATTTTCCAAAGTGGTTTCGAAATATTATGAAGTTATTCAGTAGTTTCCTAAAATAGTTATGTTTTTTCCGAAGTGATTTGGAACTTGCAGAAGGGATTACAAACTTTTCTGTAATAATTCAGTATTTTTCAATGGGATTCCGAACTTTTCTGAAGTGATTCCGTAGTTTCGGAAGCCATTTCAAACTTTCCTAAAACGATTCAATTCTTTCCGAAGTGATTCAGTACTTACAGAAGTGATTACAACCTTTTTTTGATATTCAGTATTTTCAAATGTAATTCCGAAATCTTCTGAAGTGATGCAGTACTTGTGCAAGAGATTACAAATTTTCCTGGAGTGATTTATTATTTCCCAAAGTAATTCCGAAATCTTCTAAAGTGATGCAGTACTTGCGGAAGTCATTACAAACTTTTCTGGAACTATTTAGTGATTCCGAAATTTTCTGGAGTGATCGCGAAGTATCGGAAACCATTTCAAACTTTCCTAAAACGATTCAGTTCTTTCCAAAGTGGTTCAGTACTTACAGAAGTGAGTACAAATTTGTCTGGATGTATTCAGTATTTTCAAAAGTAATTCCGTAATTTTCTAAAGTGATTCAGTACTTGCGGAAGAGATTACAAACTTTTCTGGAGTGATTCCGCAGTTTCGAATGCGCTTTCAATCTTTCCTAAAACGATTTAGTTCTTTCCGAAGTGATTCACTACTTACGGAAGTGATTATAAATTATTCTGGAATTATTCAGTATTTTCAACAGTAATTCCGAAACCTTCTAAAGCGTTGTAGTACTTGCGGTATTGATTCCAAAATCTTCCAATACTTGCAGAAGCGATTAAGTACTTTCCAAAGTGATTCCAAAGTTTTATGAAGTGAATCAGTAGTTTTGAAAGTGATTTCAAACATTCCTAAAATGGTTAAGCTCTTTCCGAAGCGATTCGGAACTTGCAGATGGGATTCCAAAGTTTTCTGGAATCATTCAGAGTTTTTCGAAGTGATTCCCAACATTTGCTGAAATGATCCATTACTTCCAAACTATTTAGGAATGATTCAGTTAATTCCAACGTGATTTCGATCTTTCATGAATTGATTCAATACTTTCCAAAGTAATTCTGATTTCTTCCTAAAGTGATTCAGTGGTTCCGAACCTTCCTGAAGTAATTCTAAACTTAAATAAAGTTATCCAGTACTCTGCAAAGTGTTTCAGTACTTGCGGTATTGATTTCAAAATTTTATGAATTGATTCAGAACTTTCCGAAGCGCGGAGCCGGTGGTCCCCGGTCTATCAGTTGATGGGTCGATAGGTAGGGTCCAGGTGTAGGCGTCGGTAACATTGGTACTCAGTACGGACAACAAGATCGACGGAAAAAAATTCCGAAGTGATTCCAACATTTTCTCAAGTGATTCAGTGATTTCGTGGTTTTCTGAAGTGATTTATTTATTTCTAAAGTGATTCCAAACTTTTATGTAGTTATTCAGTACTTTTCGAAGTGATGCAGTACTTGCGGAAGCGATTACAAACTTGTCTAGAATGATTTATTATGTTCCAAAGTGATTCCGAAATTTTCTGAAGTGATTCCGTAGTTTCGGATGCGCTTTCAATCTTTCCAAAAACGATGCAGTTCTTTCCCAAGTGATTCAGTGCTTATAGAAGTGATTACATTTTATCTGGCATTATTCAGTATTTTCAAAAATAGTTCCGAAATCTTCTAAAGTGATGCAGTACTTTCGAAAGTGATTACAAACTTTTATGGAATGATTTAGCGCTTACCAACTTTCCTAATTTTATTCTGTTCTTTCCGAAGTTGTTTAGTACTTACAGAAGTGATTACAAAATTTTATGGAATTATTCAGTATTTTCAACAGTAATTCCGAAAGTTTCTTAAGTGATGCAGTACTTGTGGAAGTGCTTTCAAACTTTCCTAAAACGATTCAGTTCTTTTCGAAGTGATTCAGTATTTTTCAAAGTTATTCCAAAATCCTATAAAGTGATTCAGTACTTGCGGAAGTGATTACAAACTTTTCTGAAATGATTCAACCAAACTTTTCTTAAGCTATTCAGTAAATTCTGAAGAAACATAAGACTTTTTCGAAGTGGTTCAATACTTTCTGAAGTGATTCCGAACATTTCTGAAGTGATTCCATACTTTTCTGAAGTGATTTCGTACTTTTATGAAGGGATTCCAAACTTTTTTGAAGTGACTCCGAACATTTATGAAGTGATTCAGTACTTTCTCCAATAAATCAGTACCTTTCGAAGCGATTCCGAACTTTTCTAAAGTGATTTAGTACTTTTTGAAGTGGTTCAACACACTTCTGAAGTCAGTGTTATCAGAAGGAATTTCAAACAGTTCGCCTCAGATATTTTAGTGTGATTGGGTGAATTTAAATAATTAAAACAAAATGCAACCTGAGGGATGCTAAACTTTTCAAGGCGATGCCATATTCAATGCAATCCTTTTCCAAGCGATTCTATATTTATTACAGGTAGTGTAATTTTCCAAGATAGTCAGCCAATGTATCTTATATTTATAAAACGACTAATTTGATTAAAATTTACGTCGATCGAAGCTGCTTTTTTATCGTCCGAGATATGAGACGCCCCCCCCCCCCCCCCTATTGGTTGGTTGGCCCCTCCTAATGAAGAGGTCTGCGCACGCCTATGGTTAACTGTACTTATATTGAATGATGTTTTTGAATTGAATTGACGTGATTCGACGTTTCGGTCCTTGTTGGAACTTTTTCAAGGATTCGTCAACAATTGCAAGCATTGTTCCCATGCTTATTTACGTTCCATCAACTTAAGCACTTGAATCATCAAGAACTGAACTACAAATAAGACTTCACACTACACTGCTGCCCGGGAATGACGCCCCCCCCCCCCCCCAAAGTAAGCCTAAATCAACTGAATAAAAATGGTGTTTGTGTACTCTACCTTACCACCGGCAATCCAGAATGCAAAAAGGTAATCCAACTAAGTGTGTATAATCCAAATGATATCAAAATCCTAAGGAGCATGCATAACACTATTCTAGGAGCTAGTATATCCATTACACAGACACAGAGAGCGAAACAGACACGGGTCATAAATCATCTACACAACACAGTTCATCGTGGTCGTCGTCGTCGTCGTCGCCGCGCCATACTTGATAATCACACTTGCCAAGCACAGTTTTCAATTTTGGTTGGATTGATCGATTCTAATTACAGAAGAAAAAAAAAAGAAGAAGAAAACTACACCACATTCATCACAATTAATCCAAAATCACCACCATCATTCGCAGTCCATCTTCGTTCCATATTTCTAATCTTAATTTTTCCGATGATTACCCACTACACACACTTCAAACACTCTTGGGCGCTTCTGGTTTTGGCGAGCAGCTCCTCTCGAAACAGATCTCCTCTACATAGGTAGGAAGGTAGGTAGGTAGATACACTCTGTGCTTGGCCACTTTCCTTCCACTTGAGTTTCTGCACTACGTTCCAAATTATTTTTTTTTTCTTTTCTAAACCGAACATGCAACTACCTGGAATTTACTAATTCGAATTTGTTTTCACTACTTTTGAACGGGATTATTGAATTTTTTTTCTTCTGGCAAAACATTTTCAATGTCATACTTGCTCATATGCTCTCGTTTTTCACTCTCTCTCTCTCTCTCAGTGCCTCCCAACAAATCTCTTTCTCCCGGCCAAGAGCCAATGTCCATCATCAACCAGTGTGTTTCTTTGCCTTCTTGTTGTTGATAAGTGAGTGTATTCTGTGCGTGCGTGCGTGCGTGAAAATAATGTGTGATAGGTACATGTTTCGCTCCACTCACTCTCTTGCTGAGTTTCCCGAGACCGAGCGAAAAAGGAAGAGCGAGCGTGAGTGAGTGGCGACTCCGGTGCTCACTTTTCCGACTGGATTGGAGATAACAAGAATTCGGGGGGAGTATAGATCAATATTATTTTTCGTTTTCCTCGGCTTCGAAGAAGAGTGATGATGGCTCTGGCTGGCTGGCTTGGCTGACTGGCACTTCACTTTACTCTATATGAAACACTTGGCAACGGCTGAGAGCGTGAGAGCAGGGCAGGAAACGGCGAGAACGAGAGCAAAAAAATGGCCAATGATGAAAACTCTGGCTACCGAAAGCGATCTGGAAGCGAACCCGCAGAAGATGATTCGAACGTTCCTGGAAAATTCGCAGGAAAATGGCTCGGGTGGGATTTTCCGTATTCTGGACCAAAGCGGGCTCCGGCCGTGCGGAGGAATTTTTCCCCCGGGCCGGGAGGCTTGGATTTTCGCTGGTTGCATTTTCTGTCTAACAGAGACGATACGGACCTTCACAGATGTATCCTTGTCCGATTAGTCCCCACAGCAGATCCGAGCAGTGATGGCAATAGGTTGGCTTGTGAAATGTCTTTCTTCCAAACGAATGCTCACCACCCGCCATTTTGTTTTGCGATGCAATGTGATGCTGATGATGTTGTGGTGCTCTGCCTCCGCGGATCCGCCGGTGCTGGTCGAGACTCACGCTACTCCGGCCAAGTGCGGATGACTCGTGACGGCTTCATCATCCATGGTATCACTTGCCTGCTTTTTTCGCTGGTTTTGCTGTTTTCTAAACTGACCCACTCTTAATCCGTCATCCTTGGAAAAATGGTGTTGGCGTTGCTCCTGATCCTATTTCGTGACTGGTCGCTTCACCACACTACCAATGGCAGAGTCTCTCTCTCACCAACAGCCTGTATCACCAGGAGTTCTTTTCCCTTGGACTTTTCTTCCCTCTCTTCTGTGTGTGTCTCTTGCTTCTTTTTTCTTGCTTCCAACAAATCACCCCTGTGCCTTCACCTTTCCCGAAGAGAAAAAAAATCCGAACTGAAAAGATATCCCCGACGACTTTTTCCAATCTTCCCCCGGGCTGCCCGACGGGAACGCGATCATCCGGTTACTTTTTTACGATTTGCACAACGAGCCGAACTTAAAACACAGTTAAATGACAAATTATACTAGGAAAAACGTTTTTTAAAAACTACTCTTTTAGCACATCCGTTGTGTGTAGGAAAGATCCTCGCACAACACACCTTTTCACGGGTGCTCTACTTCTTCTTTATCAGAGTCACACACTCGCGGGTTGGAAAAAAGTGTATTATCGTTTTTCCTCGCTCATTCACTCAGTCACTCACTCACGGTGGGAGGAACTCACGCTCGCAGAGAGGAAGAAGACGCACGCCCGCTCGCAAATACTCACACGCACGTACACACACCTGTCAAAAGTCAGCTCGCACTTTGCCACTGCGGTTGGGTGCCGTAGTGAGGAGGTCTTCCGTGCCCCTTTGTACTGAAATTTTTGGTTCTGGACCTGGGGGCAAGACAGCTGCACTCCGAGTAAATATATTTGCAGCGAGTAAATTTGAGTTACTCATATTTACTCAAAAATGATCAAAGTAGTCTCGATTTTCTCATCAAAGAAATATCGTCTGACAGCATATTTCGTTTGAAGCATCTATTTGCCCATTTGACAGATCGAATCGTGCGTTTAGAAATCGAATTGTGGACAAACGAAATGCTACTGTGGTAGTTTGACTACACGTTGGTTTTACGAGGCGTGTCGTTCGTGTGTGGCTTGGATGCCATTCAGGCGCCTACCCTCATTGGTGAGGATTGACACGGCCTAGGACGATACAGGAGTGACCCGTTCTAAAAGGAGAATGCTCCTTTTTGGTTACCTGAGGTACAACCTGAGCTTTAAGCTTCCTTCATGGTCAATAGAATTGGGACTGCTGATTGTGGCATATTATGTAGCTGCTGATTCTAGGCCAGAGAATTTTAGCGCTTTGCCAGCAATCGTAAATGTATCATTGAAAAAGCGTTGCCAGATGTATTGCCTCTAGCAATGAATTAATGTTTATTAAAACAAGCCATTGTAAAGTTAAACTGGATGTATTTATTGGTGAATAAATATCAGAAACTGAATAAATAAAAAAAAAACGTCCATTTAAGGCATTTTAGCGGTCCAATTAAAAAAAAAAAAATACAGAAAATTGTATTCAACGCTAACATGAGAGATGGCAGCAGTGCTACAAAACTGTATTGCTCTAAGAATTGAATTTATTGAATTATTTTAGTATAATCCGAACCTATCGAATCACCATAAGTTCCTATACAGAAATTCCAAGAAAACACGTCAACAAGTAAGCAAACAAGCAAAGTAATGCTTGACAGCATCGGTTTCAACATTATTTTCAATATAACAATCAGGTTGCTATGTATATATAAGACATTGAGCAGCGTGAGTTACTCAGAGCTACTCAAAATTAACTTCGGTTTTACTCATGATCGATAGCTGTCTTGCCCCCAGTTCTGGACACCTTGTTCAAAATCTGTTGAACTCCATTGCGGTTTTTTTTTCAAGAGCAGCATTAACTGGCAGCGATAATGATTGAGCCACGATTCGAAAGGTATGGCTATCTACTTTCATATGTATTAGTTAGAAACCCAATTGGAACTGTGGCTGGCCAACCGGAACGGAAAAACCCGAAAGAGTTCCGAGCAAAATGCGTGTCGATTCATGTTGACTGGTTCTCGGCAATTAGGTTGATAAATTTTAAGATTGAGCCACTTTTTGAAAGCTATGACTATCTACTTTCCAACGGAACAGACAAGGAACCGATTGGACTTGTGGTTGGCTAATTGGAATGGAAGAGGTGGCTCTGCGGAAATTCAGACTCACAGGGAAAATGGTCAATTCCTGAAAGAAGACCTAGAGATCCGCAATTTTCTCTAAATTACATACAATCCTGAGCATTGTGGAAATATTCCATTACCGATTCTACTACCGGATGATCAGGAAACAGTCTTCAAGATATCCAGAATCACCGACAAAATGGTCAATTCCTGAAAGTAGACCTAGAGATCCACTTTTTTTTTCTAAATTGCATACAATCATGAGCATAGAGGAAATAGGCTACCGGGTGGCCAGAAAATAGACCTCTGGATATCCGAAATCACCGCGAAAATTGTCAATTCCTGAAAGTAGATAGTCAGTTTCACCGGGAAATTTAAGCGGTCATAAAGATCCTCGATTTCTTTTTACTGCAAGCATAGAGAAAGGATGCCATCAACAAGCCAATTCTGCTATCGATTGGCTATAAAACAGTCATCCAAATATTCAAAATTACGGGAAAAGGCTGAAGCTACGCGGATTGGACTTGCCATCAACGCATCGAAGACAAAATACATAAAAGGAAGAAGTTCTAGGGAAGACAATGTTAGCCTCCCACCCCAAGTTCAGATTGACAGTGACGCAATCTATGAGTTCATATATTTGGGCTCACTGGTGACCGCCGAAAATGATACCAGCAGAGAAATTCAAAGACGCATTATGGCAGGGAATCGTGCCTACTTTGGACTCCGGAGGACGCTCCGCTCGAATAAAATTCGCCACCGCACGAAGTTGACTGGCTACAAGACGCTGTCCTCTACGGCCACGAGACCTGGACTATGCTCGTGGAGGACCAACGCGCCCTTGGTGTTTTCGAACGGAAGGTGTTGCGTACCATCTACGGTGGAGTGCAGATGGATGACGGAACGTGGAGGAGCCGAATGAACCACGAATTGCACCAGCTGCTGGGAGAACCATCCATCGTCCACATTGCAAAAATTGGCCGACTACGGTGGGCTGGGCACGTCGTAAGAATGCCGCACGACGACCCAGTGAAAATGGTTCTAGAAAGTGACCCAACAGAAATAAGAAGAAGAGGCGCGCGGCGGGCAAGGTGGATCGACCAAGTAGAAGGCGACCTGGGGACCCTTCGCAGACTACGAGGCTGGCAAAGTGAGGCCATGGATCGAGTAGAGTGGAGACGACTTCTTCGGACAGCAGAGGACAAAAAGGCCTTAGCCTGATTGGAAACCAGCACTTCTCCCAAGGGGTGGTCACTCTACACACTTATTTTGCGCCAACTTTTTTTTCAGTGTGTCTCAGTGTGCCGCAGCTGTGCCGGCAGTGCCGAGCAGTCATTGAACTGACTTTTGTTTGCTTGTGAATAATGCCTTGTTTGGTACCCCGGTATTATAACAGCGCTTGCTTTTGGTTTTGTTTTTCGAAACCTGAGTTAACCCGGAAGTAGGAAGGACATTTCCGTTCCGAAATACGGACCTTGCGGGTGGAGTTTCATCTAGTACGAGTCTACGTTAAGTGAGGAAAAGTTTCAGGTTTTTCAACAGCGGTTATTATCGTGAGGTGTCGCGACATTTTCTCAACCCTTCCCTCCTCTTTGCTTGCCCGTGTGTGCTAGTAAACAAAGCTCAATTTCAATGATCATGGTGTTCAACGGAAACGGTGCCAGCGGTTGCTAGGACAGGCCACACAACAAACGCCTCTGTCCCGGCCGGAAGATGATCGAGACGGTTCCGCTCAATAACCGGAACAACAACAACATCAACGTAACAGATGAGTCTCGGCGAAAGCGCGAGGTAGCAACCGGGCCCAACCATATCCTGCTGTTCACCATCATTAATCCAGTCTATCATATTACAGTGGACGTTCTACACTACAGGTATTCAAGACGAATGGAGTCCAAGCTATGGTTGAGTTTGACAGCATTTAATCCGCCACCAGAGCCCGGGATGTATTGAACAGCTGTATCATCTACTCCGGTTGCTTAACATTGAAGATCGACTATGCCAAGCCAGAAAAACTACACACTGGAAGTAGCCGTCTCCAAGGATGCCTGCAACGGACGAGCCCCGTTGCTACACGATCCTAATATCTTCAGCAGAAGGCACACCGACCGACAACGACCGTCAATCATGGTCCTAAACCAGCCCTTCTGGGAGCCGGTGGAGGAAACGGATTTGCACCGAATTTTTCACCACCTGTGTTTCATCCGTCGAAAAAATGGAAACCAACACCGTTCGGAACACACGTCGAACTGATGAAGGAAGCATCGCTGACCGGAAACGGACCAGCCAACTTCATTCAACAGGGCGCAGTGATGATGGTCTACGGACTCTAGAACAACACAGACATCACCGATAAGCTGTTCAATTTGTTCTGCCTGTACGAAAATGTTGTCAGGATAAAGTTCCTGAAGACCAAAGAGCATCCAGCAGTTGAACAACATTCCAAGCGGAAATGATGGTAGCAAAATTCATATTGCATTTTTCAAGCAGAACTACTTGTCAGAGTCCGAAAATCCCTACGCTGGACAATCGCTTCCTTTCCCGAGCAAGATTCTCCACTTCTTCAATACCCCACCCGGTATGTCCGAGGATATGCTGCTGACTGCATTCACCACCAAGGACTGCCACCCGTCGCAAGTGCGAATGTTCCCACTGAAATCGGAAAGTTCCTCCTCCGGATTGGTTGAGTTCCGGAGCGGAGCAACCACAGCGCGATCGATCACAAAGACAATAACGTCCCGTTAATTATGAAGCTGTGCTTCTCCTCGTCCAAGACGATGAATGGTGCGTGGAGCATCGAGAACATCGAAAACATGGGCATGGCACCGGCACGTGGCAACTCAATGTCGGCAGCGGCCACGACAGTCTCCACCGTGGCAGCGACGTCCGGTGGTGTGACGCCCATTTCGGTGACGGGCGATGAAGTCCATGTCCTTAGAAGGAAAGCAAAAGCAAAGACGAGACTTGCCGGATATTCACGTATATATTATAATGTGGCAACATAAATAATAAATTTTGACACATGCACACTGCGCAGAAAAAGTTCAGTGTTGCCAGTAACTTTAAAGATCAGACAAATTGTAACCATGGGTGCCAAACAGTGCCAATGACTGTGCCCAGATGTGCCCAAGCTTATTTTTGGCACACTGTGCGGAGTGGCCAACCCCTTGAAGTCTCCTCAAAATGTGTAGTACCTTTAGTTAAGTGGAAAACTGATATCAATACATTAATTTAGCTAGTGAACTGTCCTACGGATATCCAGATTTTTCGGGAAATCGAAAAATTGTTGAAAATAGTACCAGACATTCAGAATTGGTTTTACTCTACTCAATGACAATAAATTGTACAAAAATGCAATTGTTGCCTTGCATTTTTCATTTATTTATTTAGCTTTATTAGCTATTTATGTTTAATTTAT